GACTGGTTCGAAGATGTAAGAAATCTAAGTGCATAAAGGTCTGATGAGTTTATTTGTGCTTTAATAAAAGAAAGGTCGAAATGTCGTTTTTGAGGTAAGAGTGTATTATATGAGAAGATCTTTTAACGATTGCGGGCATTAGATTCATATTATATCTCAATTGTCCAGACTCCGGAGCAATGTTTCTTTTCTTTTTTCTTTTTTTTTGAACATGTTCACAAGGGATGAGATCGAACCCAGACTCAAAAGGGAGAGGAAAGTGTACCTTTTTTTAATGTAACTAATACTACTAGGTCCGAAGGGTCAGATGCCCAGAGCAATGTTTCTTTAAGGTATCAAACATAGTGATCTAAATTTTGTTTATTTATCACAAAGAGAAGTAATCTTTAGTTTTACTATGAAATCAAGCAAAGATAAAGATGAAAGCTATCATATCATAATTGCAAAATGGATACCTCTAAACCGTGCAAGAAAGGCATCAGAGAAATCCAACAATAAGATTTCTGTTTGTGTTTATTAAGTTGGCCTTCCAGGCATCAAAAAGAATATGTGGTCTGTGGGTGATGGTGACAGCCTTTTTTGCTTCTTTCTCCGCTTGCCTATTGTGGTAATTCCCTTCTACTAAAATTGAAAAGGCCTCCCACATAACAATGCTTGCTTTCTCCTGCTCTCTTATCTCTTTATCTTACGTGATGTATGTTGTGGCATTCTCTATGCTCAATACAAAACTACACTCTACCTTGCCATCTTCCTGAGTTGGAAAGAAGTTGAAATTGCCCCTCAGAAAGTAGCACTCCACAAAGCCTTTTCACCTTCTCCACACCGACGATGCACCTCTTTAATCCTATCTGCGGACCGGCAAATCCCACTGCAGGTCCAATCAAAAGAAGCAACACATATGTTGCCAGCCTGCGCTTTCCATTCACAATCTGCATTACCAATTTGTTCGTGATACAGTATATAATTAGATGATAATGCCATAACCAGAAAGATATCGCTCTTCAAAATGAATTTTGGCTCAGTTTTAGAATATGGCAATCAAAATATTTCACCTAAATATCCACCAAATCTTACATATTTGGTTGGGTATATCTAATCAGTACCATGCTAAAGGGGTGTACAACTACATGACAGTTTCTGCCCACCTTCCAAAAGAAATCAGAATGTAAAAAATTCAGTTTATTTAGCTTTAGGTGTAAAGTATATATTGCAACAGGGTTTAGAATTTGATATGAAAGTGACTCAACCCCAGATTGTATATGACTTATGAACCAGTTGTCAAATGACAAATGAATTATTAAGTCACTTAAATTTTTTATAGTGCTACTGAAATGGAAAAATGGGGACACACTATCATCCTTTTTCATTACAAGTTTGAAACATTCAAGAGAATTATGGTTTTTACCAGGTGGAGTGCCACAACATAATCTACGATCATCAATATGCTGCACGTCAAGCCCAATAAACCATGATCCCAGTGAAACATCCTCATTAGCATACTTGTGCAGAACATGCCTGAAATAGTTAGGAAAAAATAACCAATATGAACACAAGAAGACAATACAGGTAATCAGATTATACTTCATATAGAGGTTTTAGTTCCTACTGGTTTATTGAAATGTAAGTTGCCAAATCCTTTGAAATGGCATACAGTTGGCCAGTTGCATGCCGAAAGTACTTGTTTCCTGGCTCACCAAATTTCCAATATTCAGGTTCATGGTATCTCACTCCCCTGTTACATTAAATGGCAGTTAGAAAAACCAGCATACTCTCTTAACAATCTTTTGTATAGGAACAGAATCTACATAATCTCACTCACTTTTGGGAAAGGACAGGACCAGATTTCATGCAGCCAATATACACCCGTGGTTTCTTTCGGTGTCGGACTAGAGTTTCTCCCAGCGTTGCTGCAGCAATTTCATAGGAGGTTGAACAGAATTATTTGCATGCTCTCAGATTACTACTCTTAGACATGAAACAAACTGTTAAACTTTTACCTATATTTACGTGAACATCATCATCAACTTTTACATAAAACTCTGCGTCCCACAATGCAACAGCACTAGCAAAATATATCTTTGTCTTTGCAGACAATTCAAGATACCCTTCAACATGGTCCTGGTCATGTTAACAGCTTGCATGTTAGTCTTTTTATTTAGCATATACTGCTGCCATATTCATAACAAGCAACCATCTTCATCACAGAATAAGATATGCAATACAAAAATAAATGGTACAAAATTATACCAGCCTCAAAAAGTCTCCATGCTTCTTGTCTTCTGCTTCAATTGCTCGGTCCAGAATTCCACCTGTTGTGGCACTGAATAATTGGAAAAAAAAAAAAATGCAACATTAACTAAGGCTTCATCTTATACTTTTAAATTAGGATTAATGGTGATTGTCCAATTTGCACATTGATATGTAATATTTTGGAATCAAGCCTCCAGCTTTAAAAAAAAGAAAAGAAAAGGGATTCCGGCTTTATTATGTTTTCCATTTTCCATCATAGAGTCTCCCCTATATAAGTTTGATTATTCACGCCATAATTAGACATAATGAGGGAAGAAATTGATCTGATATGTTCCCTACCACATACAGGGGAAATTTTTTTGTGGATATGCATTTTTCTTAAATGCTTTATGGGAAGCAATAACATGATTTCCATTTTTCAAAAGCAACCTACCTACAGTCTAGTCAAAACAATAGCATTTTCAGTTACAAGATGGTGCTAAGTATCTAAGATCCTATCAGGTTTTTTCAGCTTCACAACACTTCAATTAAATCATAATACTTGTGGGAGCTGCAAAGAAGTTACTGCAAATGGTAACTAATCTTCAGTTTTACAATGTACCACCCAGCAGTTATCATGCAAGATAAGCTAGCATTTGTATCAGGTTCAATTGAACAATAAAACCATAAAGCTTTTTTGGCTGGTGATAGTGGTTATTCCTTGGTCAAACCATAAAAACAAGACTTGTTTTACATTAGCTATAAACCCTAAAATTGAGAAACTTCCATAGGAAGCTAGGAATAGCTAAGCCTTAATATCTAATTTTCCTTTTACATTAGCAAATAATCAAGGAATAACTATTCCTTAGAAACTGGAAGGAATACATATTCCTCATTCACCACTTAGTTTGGTGGAAAATTATCAACATTAAGGCTTAGCTATTCCTAGCTTGCTAAGTTTTTCAAATATACCTTGTTTTTATAGTTTGACCAAGGAATAGCTACTACCACCAACAATAATCCGAAATCAGCTGCAAATTCACAAACACATACTCGGGGGGAGGGTTAGAATATAAAGCGAGAAAGACTTGAAGAATAGAATTGGATACTTGTTGATAATATGGAGATTTCAAACCTCACCTATGTCCAATGACAAAGCGAATGATAATGCCCTTCTCCTCCTCCAGTTTCTTTCTTTTTTCACCTTATTCCAATAATTCAGAACGGTAGAAAAAAAGAAAAAAAGAAAAAAGACTCAAGTCAGAACAAGAAAAGAAATATGAATATTATTGGGACTTGGTTAAGGGAGGCAGATGATGTGGTAGAAGTCCACAAACCTCGTAGCATCCATGTAGCACGAACTGAATCTCTTCTTTTCCGGCTGCTAAAAGCTGTATTGATCCCTATAACCATCAGATATCTTTTTCTCCTAGAAGATTTATCCATTTTCATATCTGCTGATAAAGAAGAACTGCTGAGTTGAGATTCTTGGGCTGCCCTTGCTGCAGCCAATTCCATCTCTAAGTTCGAAACAGTCTTATCCAATGTTCTGCATTGAACAAGCATTTAACTTTGGTAATTCAGATAGTTAAAATCAAGGCAAGCATAACACCTCAGGTAAATGTGTATAAACATATAAGCATGAATAATACTCAGTTACTTACTGTATAGCATGATGAGTCCTAAAGACTTCTCCAATTATATCCTTAGATACTTGTTTTACTTCTTTCTGATGCAAAGTAGAAAGTCAATAAGTTTAGAAATAGTAGGGATTTGGTTCAGTGCATGAAAAGATAAGGAATAGCAGCAAACATAAAACTTTTACAAGCTCAGGCTAAGGCTGGAGGCACTCACAATTTTTGGGTTACAGCCTTCAGATACGAGTTTTAGTTTTTCAGCTTCTGCAGCAGTCGCTCGCATCATACCTTTAGATTCTGGAACAGCCCACCTCCTGCAATCATGTTTTCCCATTAATAAGCCACCATATCTATAGTTCAGGGATTTAGCTGCCTCAAAAGTAACTGGGAAAGAACATCTAAAAGTGCAAAACCATTTCCAAAAAAAATCTTCTATATTAATTTTATTATAATCTGATTAAATAAGAATAAATAACATCCCAAAGCAGCTCAAAAGAGGAATGAGATTTCAATAACCCCAGCTTCTTCATGCGAATCATTCAATTTTTCTGGATGAATATGAAAAAATTTCAATTTCAATGTGAAAAGAAGCCCTAATGAATTCAAAACAGCACTAAAAGCCACTCGAATTAGATAAAACATAATATTACAGGATTAGAAGAAGGAAAACATTAATTTTTAATGGAGTTCTTAATGGCCCACGTATATGAAAAAAAAAAAAAAGGACAAATTTGCTTGCAATTTATTCAAACAATAAAATCCAAAAGCCATCCATTAAATGATGGCAATCTACCAGAAGTTTGGCTTTTCCATCAAATCCTACAATTGACTTGTCATTAAACAATAAAATAGAAAAGAAAATAAAGAATGAACAAATTAGATCCATTGCAACTATGAACAAATTATTCGACCAGAAGAAGAAAAATAAAATAAAAGCTATGAACAAATTAGATCCATTCCAACTTCATAATCTATAAGCCAAGCAGGAATACTAGAGGCAAGAGTGAAGATAGTTAAAGAATACATATTTGAAATGTGAAGACAGCCTTTGATAATATGAGGAAATTTATGTTCATAAAAATTCAAGATAACTAACCCATCTTATAGTGTCTTACAAAAACCAAATCACTACAGAAACAAACTAAGATATGTGCATTACTAAAACAAATAAAAACTAGTAAAAATAGAGATCTGTGGACAAGTCATAAGACTAAAGAAAAAAGTAAAAATTTATGACACAAAATTCTTACAATTCCATGATTTTATTATGAACCCATTTCACAAATGCACAAAATCAATGGGTCAATGAAAAACCCACTTGAGTTTTAACAATTCAGAAATTGATTGGAACAAAATAATAGTAAGAAGAAGAAGAAGATTGAACCTGCTGGTGAAGAGCATTCCAGCACAGAAGCAGCCTAAACAAAGCAGAAAGGTCCATTTTTTTGACACAGAACTTCTAGGAAGCTGCTCCCCTCTGCTTTTGAAAGACATTCTGAATCCCAATTCACTAGTGTACTTCCTCTTACTAATCCTAAAGCTATCCCCAGAAAAAACCCATAAGGAAAAGAGAGAAGACAAACCAAATCCACGCAATACAGATAGCTAAAAACACCCAAGTCGTCAAATTCAGCAGCAAAATCAAAAGCTTTTTACAACTAAACCAAGATAGAAGGAATTGTATTGAAAAATCAACAAAGAACTCAGCTCTTAAATTGTTCTTTTCTTTGTCTTCTTGGCTTCCTCCCCCTCCTCTACAGATTGAAAGATTCCCCCTTTTTTTTTTTTTTGCTTTCTATTTCTCAGTCTCAACTTTGCAGGCAAGGGACATTGTACAGAAGTGAGAAGAAGAAGACTCACTAACCGCTTTCTCTTTTCTCACACAACAAATTTACCAAATCATCCTTCTCCGTGCATTCCTGAATCTACATTTCTTTAATTTAATGAAGGGTTTTTCAAACTGTATTAATTTATATATAAAACTATGAAAGTTAAACATTAATTTTAGCAAGTTATAACTTAGATAAATTAAATTAAATAGTTATTAAA